TGTTTTTTTTTCTGATATGATTATCTTATTTTTGTCTGAATTCATGGGATGAAGAATTATCATAATTTACATTCGAACTAATTTCCTCATCTCTGTTATTCTTATCACAACGTTTCTATCCAGCTTTCTTTAGGCGTCTGGCGACTTGGGTAAGCGCAGCGTGCTAATCTATTTCCTGTTTTAGAACGTAGACTGCCATGCTAATCCTTTGATTGATTCGTTTTCTACGGTTTATCAACCCTTTGCAGGTGATTTAAAGCCATGAACAATTATTAGAGTGTAAGAATTTTTTGTGGGCAGATAACAATCATTTAACGATACAAGTTGTACTAAGTAACTCATGATTGTGGGGAGAAGACGAGGATTCATACCTAGGGAAAGGTATGAATCGTGCGTAGGTGAATATAATGAACCCAACTGGAATTGGAACTTGGTTCTCCGATAAACAATTAACCATTAGCTATTACATCACCCACACATCCAAGGTTGCTGCACTTGGTATTCCAAAGCAGTCACCCATATAGGTACTGACTAGGCTCAAGGTTGCTTAACTTCGGTGATCGTACAGGAACCGGTGTTTCAACGTGAAGCGGTCGTGAGCCTAAATATGTTTGCAAGAGTAATAAGAATGTTAGAACCGATTACTTGTATCTGTAAAATTGGCAAGTACTCCAACCACATGTTAGCCCTCACAGTCCTTTTTAATTTTTTTATTTTACTAAAAACAAATTTTGATTACAGTCAGTTTAACATTCTCATGTTTATTGTTATAATAACAACGTTTCAACCGATGTTACTATTAACCATGTTCACCATAGTCTATGAATATAGAATACAGCACAGTACATAATCTGTTCAATAAAACAACGTTAAAGATTAACACTCACGTGTCAGACACTCTACTGAATCTGACTATATTGCCAATTCCACCAGCAGCTGTTCTGTAATTCTTCAGTCTTCAATATCAAAGGCTGGCTATCAGTGAATATTCGGGAAAAAAACATGGCTGCCTTTATACACGTCGCATTGAATATTTTGAGCCTTCTGATTGGTTAACCCTTCTATTGGTGAACTATAAAATGAACTATAAAATGAGTCAGCTCATTTTTGGCTGGCTCACTAGTACTACCCAAAAATTCCAACAGTTACCTCTGGCATTCTTCAGGTGTCTGGCATTCTTCAGATTTCGTATAACCTTGAGGTATTTAATCAAACGGAGAAATAAAATCGACTAGTGTAGGGGCAGTGATAAAAGAATGATCATATCCTTATTTGTGGTTTGTTAAAATATATGTCACTAGCTGTTTGTGATGCACTTTGGTATATTAACTTGGATACTAATGAGTCGTAAAAAAATTGAAAGATGTTTCTCTGATGTAATGATCAGTATTAGAATGAAATTATTTCTGTGTCAATTTCTGGAATGAGTATTTATCATTATTTACTTTTTAACAAATGTCATCATTGTTGTTATTGTTACCATGTTTTGGCTGTTGTGACCTGCAGCCTTCTTCCGGTATCTATTGGTCTGAGTAACTTCCAGAAGATTTACTCAATCTGCGTGGGTAAATTTTTCTCATTCCGCTGTCCATATCTCGGAATATATAATGTCTTCCTTATTTAGTACTGCTCAGCTACTGCTCACTCTATTTCGTTGAGATTTGTACTACCCTCTCTAGGATTGAACAGTCAGCAAATTCATAAACCATTTGACAATAACTTAGTGGATTACTGCGTTGGTTCATGAATTTGGTGACATATTAATTGTGAGTAGCTATATTTGTTACCATAAAAATGGCATAACGTAGCAAGATTTATGTTAGCACAATACTGATTTCTAGCGTGAAGAATAACGCAACTTTCAATTAATTCAATTAATAATGAGCGGGAAGTGAAAGTAGTAATCAGGAGGACAGTAGATAATCATTGACGTTGCATTTAAATTTTTGGAGATTAAAGATGGCTAGAAATCATGGAGACGGAAGGGAGTTCTACAAGCGAGAAGTGCTAGAAAAAAAAACTGTTAGCATAGAGCTTATGATTACATATAGCCAGCTCAACTATATATTGATGAGTTCTCGACGCCAGTATAGTACTGCGCTTAAACGTAAAATGTCTAAGTAACATAGCGAAGAGCTCATCCAAACAATCGCCATGAAAGAATGTTTGTATCATCAGCGTAGATGCCAAGTTGACAGTTGATGTCATCGGGAAGGTCATTAATGAAAAAAACAAAACAAAACAAAACAAAACAAAAAACAGAGTAGGATCAAGAATGGTGCCCTTGTGGACGCCCGTGTTTGTACAAAAGGATCTAGACGAGTGGTCGTTCAGGATAATTTTAATTTCACGGTTTGATAGGAAAGACTGGCTGAGTTCAAAAATGTGTCTAGAAACATCGTAAATTTTCAGCATGTGAAGAAGACTTGAATGCCAAACCTTTTCAAAGGCTTTCGAGGTGCTAGAGCCCGGGCGTCACCGTTTTTATCTAAAGAAAACCCGGGAAAGAATTAAGAATGGCAGGCCCACCAACCGGTTTCCAAAGACATATAAGAAAGGATAGAAAGAAAAATAAATATATAGAGGGAAAGCGATGAATAAGCATGGAAAAAATGAAAAAAAAAAAGTGAAAGAGAAAAAATAACGAATAAATGGGAATCAGTAAAAGGAAAAGAGTGAAAAGGAATAGGTTGATTGATTTGTTTTTTACGATTTATCAACCCGTTGCAGGTTATTTAAAGCCTGAAAATATTTTCAGTTTGTAAAATTTTTTTTTGTGAGAAAATAATACTGATTTGCAGATACAAGTCTTACTTATTATCATAGCTGAAAAAAGATATATCAAGAGTATTTAACCGTAAGTGAATATGACCAACTTGGGAACTCGACTCTCTAGTTAACAATTCCGTTCCATTATCGATTACATCACCGGCATATCCACGCTTACAGCACCTGGTATTCCTAAGTGGTCACCCATCTAGGTACTGACCAGCTTTGACGTTGCTTAACTTCGGTTATCGTACGATTACCGATGACAGAGGTAAAGGGAGAATCAGGAGAAACCGATATATAAGTAGACAGACAGAGCCGTAGACAAAGGAGAAATTAGAAAAAACGAGAGAGACAACTATAAAATGAGAGAAAGGGAGTGAAATAGACAAAGAAAGACAGTGAGAGAAAGTGAGGGAGAGAAAGATAGCGTAGTAAATAGGAATTTCGAGAAAGAAATGGAAAAGAAGATAAATAGAAAGAGGGGAGAAAACGGAGAAGGAAGAGAAAAGATACGGTATAGCATATTTGTTAGTGAGAAAATAAGAGAGATAGAGAGATAGAGAGAAAGAAAACGAAAGTAAAAAGAGAGGTAAATTAAGGTGGTGGGAGAATTTAAGGTTAAATTTAGGGAAAACCAAACTTGTTAATCCGCGGTCGAAATCGAGACAAGGTCAAATTGTGTACTTATCACTAAATTTGTCTGATCGCCGTTTCAATTGTTATTTGAATTTCTTGACAACTTACAGCTTTTCTATTTACCCCCAGACTCAAATGTACATCAACAGAAGCCAAAGGCCTTTGTTTAATTCACTTCATTCTTCGCAGTTCCAGTATTTTGTTCATACTTTGCACAACTGATTGATTTGGATTCTATCCATTTTGAACGTTTCAAAATTTGGAACAGGAACAACTCAGCCAAGCAATAAAGGAGGCAAGACTGCCATGAAGAATTGTCAGATCTTCCCTATCAAATTTCGTTTAACTCTTTCGAGATGCTATGTTTCGTGCAATTAGGCGAGGTACGTTCAAGATGCTTTTCACATAACGTTTAAAGGAGATGCGCTTTTACTTAAAACACTTATTCCTTGCTTTACAATTTGAATTGGTTTAGTCTCGCGGTAAAACACACAAATTAATGCATAACTGCATTCGATTGAATCTCACACTGATGTAATTCGAAATGTTAATGAAATGTTTTGGAGATATTTTAATCTATTACAATTCTTATGGCACAGGGTCAATATATAAAACCTACCAGTACAAAAGAATTCTCCTATTACCATATTAGTACAAAAACGCACAATCTTAAAATTTAAAAATTCATCCTCAGCGTTGCGACCGCACGCTCCCCCAAAATTTCTTACAATTAACAATAACACATTTCTAAAAACATTTTTCGGATTATATTTATATTTTCGTTGTCATGTTATTACCGAGAAGTAAAAAACATGAGAGACGAGGCTTTCGAATTAGACTATCTGCCAGTTATCTTTCATGAGACTTATTTTACGAAGCTGCTTTGCCTACGTTTAATGTCAAATAATGGATACATATTTGTTATGACCCTTGGCTACATTAAAAGATAACAGAAGCGAAAGGAACGATAAAGTGAAAGAGGCCAGGGAGGGACTAACATGCGAGGTAGCAGAAATCTAAAGACAGTTAAACATACGCGCATTATACATACATGCCTCATGAATGTGTGGATGATACCGCATGTGTACGTACGTAAGTGTATATGTTTGCAATTATTTGTACTCGTATGTATGGGTATATGTGCTTTGTTTTTGTTTGATGTGTGTGTGTGTGGTTCGTTTGTGGAATAATTTTCAATAACATGTTTCAAACCTACACGTCATAATTTCATCCATTTCACTTCGGTTGATTTTTTACAGTTTGAAGTATTTTGACGTTCCTCGAGAAAAAGAAATTGTTTTTTTTTAATTTTAGCTTTTCTTTTGTTTTTCTGATTTCTCAATGTTTATTTTCATTATGATTTTAAATATTTAGGTTGACAGGGGTCTGCATATGTAATTTTCCTTAAATTTTTCATTAATGGCCTTCGTCCGGCCCGCGACCCGTCGTTATAACACGATCCGGCCCGCGGGGTCGAATGAGTTGCCGACCCCTGGCGTAAGTGAATATAAGCAGCCCGATTGAAATTGGAACTCGTCTCTCCGACTTCCAATTTCGTGTTGTTATCCATTACATCACCCGCATATCCAAGCTTATAGCACCTAGTATCCCCAAGCGGTCAGCCATCTAGGTACTGATTAGGCACGCGGTTGCTTAACTTCGGTGATCGTACGAGAACCGGTCACTTAAGATGCAAGCTCCCTTATAGTAGGAGAATAAGTGTTAGTTTTTTTTTTCTAAGCGTAAATCTGGCAATTGAAGAAGTCGTTTTAAGACAGAGTCCCAATCTGTTTTTGTTTACTAATGTATCATGTTTGGAACATATTTCAGAACCTTGTTTCTTAATGCCAAGATTTTGTGATTGCTTTTGATATGAAGAATAATATTCCAACAGTTTGTATCTGTCTGCGAACTCGAATCCCTACCAAATATATGAAATCTACCCACGAAAGTAGAGCTATTCCCCACCCAGTTAAAAGCTACTGGCTTCAGACATAGGAATATTTAATCTACGGTTCTTGATTCTGTTGTTTGTCCGAATTCATTAATGAATGACAAGTCGGACGGCTTCAAGTAAATTAATATTACTGAAGGATATGTAACTAATTGGAAGTTAGTGAAGTAAATGCGATTATTAATTTGACTTGATTATATTATCATTATAAAGGCTATCGATGTATATTGGAAAGATAATAAAATGTGCTATATTAGTTATTCTTTGAGCATTGGCAAAGTTTTAAAGAAAATGGAAACAAAAACGATACTTATACTTAGAATAAGTAAGACACAGTTGGAATTTCTAGAGCACATAATGAGGAAAATGGTTTTAGAAGAACTGTCACTGGCAGGACCTACAGAAAGATAGATGGACAGAGGAGAGTAGCCCATGGCCAACCTAACGAACTTATATAAATGGTTGGCTGAACAGGAATTAGGAGAGATATCAAAAGAAAAAAAAATTACGAAGAGCTACAAAAGACAGGAAATTGTAGACGACCATGGTCAACTAAGTTCTGAGGAGACACAGTATAAAACGACTTTTTGGCATCACGTTTTCAATGACATGAAGTGGAGCGACTACATCGAATCATTAGCTGCATCTATCGCAAGGAAAGTTGGGTCACTGCGACGTGCCAGAAAATTTTTCTCCTTAGAATCCATCTTGCACATTTGCAAATGTAACATTTGTCCGTGCATTGAATACTATTGCATAATCTGGTCTGGTGCTCCTGCTGTACATCTCGAGATTCTTGACAAAATACAAAGAAGGATCTGAAATGTAATTGATCCTGACCAGACATCTCGACTTCAGTTAATTTCTCATCGACGGGACTTGGCTTCCCACTGTCTTTTCCACAAATATTGCCCACCCGTGGAACCCCCTCTCGTTACCTTGCTTCTCTGATAACTACAATCTTTAAAATTTGAATGCAACGTCAGTCTCCATCTTCTGTTTTCTTGAAACCCCTTTATCTTTCCTCAGTCCTCCCTATATTCAGTCTTTTTTTTCACTTTCACTCTCGGTAAGCCCCTGTGTACTAGTACTAGAAGAAGAAGAAGAAGAAGAGGAAGAAGAAGAAGATGAAGAAGAAGAGGAAGAAGAAGAAGAAGAAGAAGAAGAAGATGATGAAGAAGAAGAGGAAGAAGAAGAAGATGAAGAAGAAGAAGAAGAAGAAGAAGAAGAAGAAGAAGAGGAAGAAGAAGAAGAAGAAGAAGAAGAGGAAGAAGAAGAAGAAGATGAAGAAGAAGAAGAAGAAGAAGAAGAAGATGAAGAAAGCGCAAGAGAAGAACAACAGCAAGAAGAAGAAGAAGAAGGAAAAGAAAGCGCAATAGAAGAACATCAGCAACAAGAAGAAAGCGGAGACGAAGAAGAAGAAGAAGGAGGAAGAAGAAGAAGAAGAAGAAGAAGGAAAAGAAAGCGCAATAAAAGAACATCAGCAACAAGAAGAAAGCGGAGACGAAGAAGAAGAAGAAGAAGAAGAAGAACAACAACAACAACAACACCAACAAAGCGGAGGAGGAGGAGGAGAAGAAGAAGAATAAAGCGCAAGAGAACAAGAAGAAGAAGAAGAAGAAGAAGAAGAAGAAGAAGAAGAAGAAGAAAGCGGAGAAGAAGAAGAAGAAGAAGAAGAAGAAGAAGAAGAAGAAGAAGACGAAGAAGAAGAAGAAGAAGGCTTACCAGTTGATGTTTACTAAGTTTAGCTTAGAATGGAACAAGACCAAATTAAGAAAATGAAGACTATGTTACACCATTCTTCTTAGCAAAGAGAGACTTTTTGTCGATAAAATCAACATCCGAAATGTCGACTTTTAACTACATCTGGTACCATTGAGAAATAAATAAATAAAATAAAATTAAAGAAAAATATAACAAAGAAATAAAAAAAAAATACTAGTTAAAAAGTATCTGTGTACTTTGCATATCTATTGTCAATTTTTGTCCTTGTTCCCGAATTCCTTTTTAGTGATAGCATCTTTAACAGTGTCGAATCGGCGAAGGAAAATGTAGACCGCTCGGGTGGTCGTGTCTTGCCGAGATCTAAGGCACGACTGGCGTTGTTTCTCTATGGGTTCACTTATATCACAAAGAACGCAGACCTTGTGTCGCAGCTCACGTAGTTCTCTGTTGGTGGTAGTTAGTTGCTGCTGCGATTAATCTTTTTTTTTTTCCTTAATTCTCTATCTTTCTATTTTTCTACCCTCTCTATTTACAATACTTTTCGTCTTTCTTCCTCTATACATTTCTCTCTATATTCATCCATTTTCTCTAGTTTTGTGCATCCTTTTCACTTTCTCTCTTTCTTTTTTTTTTTTTTTTTACTATATCTGTTTTTCTGACTTTTTCTTTGTCTCCTTCTTTTTTCCTTTCTCTTTTGTTAATTCTTTCTTTTTTTTTTGTTTCTACTTTCCTTTCTCTCCTTTTCTTATCCTGCATATATTCGTATCGTCCTTTATCATTGTCTTTTTCATTCTGTTGGTTCTTTTCCTTGTGGATGCTGGTTGCTGAACATTCCGTACTTTGTCAAGCCCAAAATATTACAATGCATGTTTATTAGGCTGGGACAATATGCTATAATGCGGTCGAGAACTGCCAACCATGGTAGATTTTTATAACAACCGCCCCAAAAAAAAAAAAAACAAAAAAAAAAACAGATACGCAAATGACACTGTGTTGAAAGGAAGCTACAGGACCTCCTAGAGAGATTGGTAGAAAAAAAAATGAGAAAAAAAAAGGTCTTACCATCAGAAATATTGAAACAAAATATAAAGAAACTACTAAATATTGAAACCCTTTTGTGACATTTGACCCAATCACCCGCCCTGCATCTTTCTCTCTCTCGGCCTTTTGGTCAGGATCAAAGCTTAGTAGCTGTTCTTTCCTCATTTCAAACGGGAGAAGGCGTCCCAGAGATACCAACTTGGAGGCAGCAGCCTCCCCATTGCAGTAAGAGGTGCCGGTTTAATATCTACGCCTGGGTAAGTAGTCGCGAGGATTAGGCATTTTTTTTTCATCCTCGGCACATATGCATGTTTGGGTACTCCATATAAAAAAGACCTTGTGTCACAAATTGCTTTAGTCGGAATATCAAGTAAATAAAATCTCTCTCTCGCTAATATATATATATATATATATATATATATATATATATATATATATATATATATATATATATATATATCGCAATAATATTGCTGATTGATTCTATGTATTATTATTTCTTTATATATAAAATTTATGCTGCGTAATATTATATGTTTATAAAAAAATCAATTAATCCCGCGGTATGAAATTCCTGAGAAAAAAAAAAAACTCCTAAGACATATCACTATATTAATTGAACTATATACTTAGTTGATGTCATGTTAACTGAAAAACACTTGTAAAAAAATAATTCGTGGATTTACCATATTACAAAATTCATATAAAAATTCTCACTTGAAATTTTGAACTTTAGCGTTGCGACTCGCATGTTCCGAGATTGTACAACCGTCAATAAATAGCACACTCTTAAAAAAAAACAGCTTTCGGTCTACAAACAATTATTTCGTCTTCAAGTTTTAACTTTAAAGGAAAAAAAAATTACAGCCTGAGGATGAATACATGGATCTCCGAAAGTACTTGCTTAACTTAAAAAATATACACTACAAACATCTGACAACAGTTTTATAAATGAGGATCACATCGTTCAATGGATTAACAGTATTTTAATGCATACGTTATTTTCTACTAGTGAAGTGATTTCGCTATTAATCGCATTAATATTGCTGAATGATTCTATGTATGAATATTTCTTTATATAAATATATATATATATATGTTTTTAACAATAAAAATTATTGGGAAATTAAAAAATTAAAATTTTCAGACACCCTTGGTTGTATATTAATATTTTTTTTAAATATTTCAGTTGGATTCCTCGACTACTTTCGACCAACATGCCCATCATCATCAGAAAAAAAATTCCTTGTTAGTAGCATTGAAATACAGGAATAACATGGTCTACAGGAATAATATATATATATATATATATATATATATGGAGAGATATTTAATAATAACTATTGAAATACATACGTGTGCTAAGGTAAGAAGCATATTGTCAAGAAGGTCCTCAATAAATAGAGGTGGGTAATAATCATCAATAAATCAAAAATTTTTCAACCTTCTTCGGTTTATTGATTATACATATATATATTTTTAAAGACTGCCCATACGGATTACCAAGTTTTTCATAATCTTTCATATATATATATATATATATATATATATATATATATATATATATATATATATATATATATATATATATATATATATATATATATATATATATATATATATATATATATATATATATATATAAATATCGACCTTGCTAAATGAACACTCCTCTGTATTAAATCGGTTAAAGGCACGTCAAGCTAAATGACGATTCCGTATACGATACAGGTTTTTCGACATTCAGGCCGGTAAATGTTGTTATTACTGTTTATTATAAACAGAGCGTTTACTTAAATATTTGTATCTACAAAAAGAATTTATAAACATAAAAATGTCTTGAAATATATATGTATACACATACGCACATATATATATATATATATATGGGTGCTTAAAAGACGTAGACATCACGAAGACAGAATTCCGAAATAAATTTTTAAGTTTGCTTTTTTTGCACTG